TGTGTGTGTGTGTGTGTGTGTGAGAGTGTGTCTGTGTTGATTTTTTGTTTGTTTTGCTTGAATGTCTGAAAAAGAGGGGTTTTATGTTGCATCGTTTTCTCCTTGTGCTGTTTTTAAACTTTTATCTTAATTTACCGCATTCCTTTGGCTGTGATTCTTAAAGTCTACTCATCTCCTTATTTTAGAATTGTGTTTTGTTATTTTTAGTTGATATTTACCAATAGTTATATTGCCGAATTTTATTTCGGTCGGCACTAAAATGATTGCGAACAGATGTATCAGCTGCTTTGCTGACGATTTTATATGATACTATGTGACTACATTTGTCAGGATATTTTGTTCTTTAATGAACGCAAGAGATGGTAACAGAATTAGGCTGAAGGACAAAGTAATATTATGGTTATAGTGAACTTCCACTGGAATAGAAAACAATGATCAGCAGAGAAATGTTACGGATAATTTATTATCTTTAAAAAAAAAAAAATATTTGCAAAGCTTCTCGTAATATATTACAGTTAATTTTAACATTTCCAAAAAGACAATATAGAATCTAAAACTGGAAAGAGACAGAAATAGAAAGTGAAAGCAAAGAAAGGTGGGAAAAAGAGATAGACTAGCGAGATAGAGAAACAGGAAGAGTAAGAAGGATGAGGAAATGAGATTGGCATGCAGAATTTTGGTAACAACAGCTGAAAGACAAAAAAAAAGATTGGGGGAGGGGGGGGGGGGTTGTGAATATAATTATTGATTTGTCTGAAAATGGTCTCATCATATTTCAGCATACTATTTTTTGTATCTATAAAATCTATTGAAATAAATGAAATGATAATGCCATGTATATTGCATATCAGCCCCTTGTAACCTATATTTTGTATTTATTTTGAAGAAAAAAGACTACTATACTTTAAAGCTTGAAATAAACATAACAAAATCATGTTCAAACAAGTTTCGAGTTTTTTTAACTTTCGTTGTTGTTGTTTCTTTTACTGTGATCTTGACGTATACATTTTAATTTCTGCTAAATAATACTGATATCATCAGTCTTGTTTACTCACGAAAAAAAATAGTATACTTTCACTTGAGGACAATAATTAAAGACATAAAATTGTAGACAATAATCTTTCTTCTTCGGGGTCTTATATACTGAAGCCATTATTCCCGTGTACAGCTGCAGCTGGTAATTTGTCGCTTCCGTAGAATTACAAAGTTCTATCTGCTCAGTACCTAGTTCTGAGAAATTTAAGGTTTAACATTCTGAGTTAACCATCACGTCAATTTTTTTTTCGAATACAATCTTTGAATATACATAACGACTCCGAATAACTGAACAATATCGATAGAGCAGATATAACTTTTGTTTTCTGACGCCATGGTCTTAGTAACCCAAAACGGCCGCAAATGTCAAATTGAACTTTGTAATTTTAAGGTAGCGATGTTTTACCAATGTGAGATTTTTGTCTTTTTGGGAAAAAAAGCTTGTTTAGATGAACAAAATGGAACGAGCGTTTTATTTTCCTGTTTCATACAGCTGTGACATGAGCTATTACATGCAATCTGCAAAGCTGGTGACCTTGGAGAATTTCTTTTGAAGAAGAATCATAGAGCACACGAGCACCTTTACCCTTAAAGGCCATATGTTTAGAACAACAACAGCAACAACTACAACAGCCACAACAATACCACCACCAAGAGGAAGAAGAAGAAAAAGAAGACGAAGAAGAAGAAGAAGAAGAAGAAGAAGAAGAAGAAGAAGAAGA